TCACCAACGTTTCCCCACAAGTATTTAGACCAGAGCTGTGATACAAGAATGCTAAGAGGAACTTCAGGGCAAAAATGCATCAAACATCCAGCCAGTGGACTTCTGGCAGCGGTGGTTGTCTTTTGTTTGACTACTTAAGTCCTGCTGAGACTAAAGGAGACACAGCCAGAAACAGCAGCAGCGCACAGCTCAGACAAAGAACAAAACTTTTTGATCTGAAACTTCAAATGAGAAAACAAGTTTCTTTTCCAAGTATTTTTCAGGTCTCAGCCTGGATCTATGGCAACACCTTCACAACAGTTTACATTATGAGGAACTATATTTTAAAAAATTGTGTTTAATAAGTGTTGAGGTTGAGTCACAAGCTGACGTCATGAAATGTGTTGTCTGACAGTCAAACTTCCTCAAAACTTTAATCCACCATAATGTATCTGAGAACATAGAATCACCAAATATTTGCCATTTTTGCTTGAAACCCAACCAGAGCAATTCACCAATTATCAAAATATTTGCAAATATAATTTTATTTCAATCAATTAACTGACTGCAGCCCAACACTGTAACATATTAGATCATTTTGATTTGTGTAGCAGAGCTTGACAGGAGTCAACAAAGGCTTGCTTCAAACAGCCTGGAGATCGGGATTCAAGGGTTAGCACTCAGGTTATGTAGAAATATCTTGAAATACTGGATCATTAGACCTTTGATCAAGGACTCTGCAGAAGCATTTCTACCATTAACCTGGCTGTGACATGGCCTCCTCTGATACAAGTGTATGCTTAGTGCAGAGGAAGAGTGTGTACACTGGTCAAATTCACTAAAATGAACGATAGAAATGTTTGTAATGTTGCCCGTGTCTCAGAGAACATTTATATCTTCTGCAGGTCACAATACAGAGCTACACGCTATTAGCGAGGCGACTTCCACAGTATCTGATAAGGGCAACAGTGCTGTCTTTGTTTGGGACTTTGGGTGTGGAACAACACAAATACGACCTGAGAGGGGGAGAGAGTGAGAGCAGAAGTCTGATCTGCTCACAGTTATTCAACAAAACCCATTAAGCGTTTGTCTATAAATAGTCTTATCTGTGTTTCCATGTCTGACAGGTATCCAGCCATCTGGAAATCTGCTTCTCAACCTGTTTGTGTGGAATGGAGATCACAAACTATTTGTGGACAACTAAGTATCCAAAGATCCCAGATGTTTTATTTGTTAGTGATATTAGAAGTAGTTCTCGCAGTAGCAATACAAGTTTTAAAAGAAAGAATAAACGCAGCAACAGAAGAGCCTTTAAGTACATCAATAGAGATTTAATGGCTGGGAATGCACTGCCACTGACTGTTACACAAGATTTTATCAGTGTATTACTGCATCGGTCTGATATGACTCTGGCCTGCAGCTCGTATTAAATCACAATGTGTATTAAAATCTGATAAAGGAGAAATCATCGCATATTTCCTAGCAGTAGTCGGTTTATTAAGAAGGGCTTTTAGACTTTTTAACCAGATCAATTTATTTTTGATTATATAAATCTGAGGTCAAATTAAAGGAAATAATAATAATAATAAGCCCATGTTGTGTCTTTTAACCTTCTGTTTTGAGTTTTTCTTACAAATGTGACAAGTTTCTGTCCATTTTCTGTAGCTTTCATTTTCTACCCCTGGCTCTTCTAGCACTCATATGAGGAGGGAGTACCTGTGTTTGAATTGCTTTCTTTTCTTTCTTTCTTTCTTTCTTTTTCTTTTTCTTTTTTTTTTTAAAGCTTCTCCTTGTTGGAGACATTGGTATGCTGGGCCTTAAAGCCCACTGAACACTGGGCAATTTAAATACACTTAGCTTAAAATGAAGAAGAAAGTTCAATAAGTATTTCCCTCAGCACCGAACAATTACATTTGACTTGGAAAAGAGGCTTTTTATAAACGACCTGCATTAAACCCCCCTCCTCTCTACTGTTTTTGTCCAGGCTGAGATAAAAGACCAGGGAATAACAGTGAAGACCAAAGTTCAGTCTCTACAGTACTGTAGGCCTTCCTCCTCCCTTCAGCCTGGAGTTTTTGGTTGTTGTCAGAGGTCGAGTCCTTCGAGTTACAATATGCCAATGTTGAATTTTACATCCCAGCGAGACATGCAGTGAATCCGGTCATGTTATTAGCTCTGTTTAACCATGTAGCCTATTTTCCCTATTATCACAGCATTCGCTATTTGTTGTCGGTGTTTCAGCGACCTATTGTGTGTTAATGTGTCCTGTAAACCGATACTTACAGAACTCCATGAGCGACTTGCACTCCCAGTCGTCATTCCTGCCTCGGCACCGCTCCCACATATTGGCGTAGTCAGACTTGCCGTCCTCGTCCTCCACCCATCCCGATGTGGCGGCGATGGCGATAATGTCAAAAATAATGGCGAAGAGCAGCAGCAGGGGCACGATCCACCTGCATCGGGGGTAGGCGATCCCACAGCGAAACATGACGGACGATCGGAGTTCGAGGAGCGAGATGGAGAGATGGATAAGCAGCTGGCGACCGCGGTGTACACCGTCCGATTATATACCTACTATCTTCGTGCGTCTTCACGCGAAGAGTGAGTGGGTGTAGCGTGGATACCAAATAAAAGCCCCACCCGACAGTGTAATGCAACCTGTGTCAAGACCTGGAGGGCTGGGCTTGTCTGGCTGTTAAAGCTGAGTCAGGTCACGCCCAGCCCCATGCACGGTGTCATATTACACCCTGAAAGAAACACACTGTTTTCCTGTAAGCGCCTGTTTAACCCAAGTCCTAACCCCCAGAATTTATTTTAATGATAAACTTGATTTCTGAGTTACGGGATACAACAGGTAGCTACTGACTGGGCTGTGAGTGGGTGGGGTGTGAGAGGCAAGGTAGAAAACGAGGGAAAAAGGAGCCAGTGAAATGATGCAGTTCATACAGTTGCCACAAGACGTCACCCATCTCTCTCCAACAGCAAAAGGAAACCTATGGTTACTGAGAAAACACATAAAAAAAAAAAATAAAAAAAAAATCTAATTCACGTAAGTATAGTATTTTTCTAGTTTTCTAATTTGTCTAAACTCATCATCTTAATTAATTTTTGTGTAATTCATATATGTATTGATTTTTTTTGATGGTTTTATTTGTACTAATTTTACATATGGAAATAAATCTTGGATCTTAGCTTTATGCTTGACCTTGTGCTTCACCCATCACATTTTAATTCCAGCAAGTGCAATTTTTCTTTTTGAAACTATTTTTTGTCTTTATTTCTTACAACTTGTGGAGTATTTTGTAAATAGACGATGTTCAGAATGTACATATCACATAATTTTACTTTAAAGTTTAAACTATGTAAAAATACAATATAAAAATTTTAATTTTCTTTAAAAGGTGAAAAACAAAGGGAAACTGAGGTTGGAAGCACATCTACACTGAAGCATAATGCATTCACTTTAGAAAAAAAAGTCTGCTCTGTTTTCTGAATTAACGAGATTATCTCAGAATTCTGAGAAAAGTTTTCTTTGAAAAAATCCTCTGGTTTTCTAAATTTACGAGATCATATCTCAGAGTTCTGAGATAATAACCTCGTTAATTCAGAGTACCAGAGCAGATTTTTTTTTCTCAAGTAAATACATTACACCTCCGTACATCTACAATTACTTTCTCAATGAGAAAGATCTTACCCCGCCCACTACGCTTACTTCCTTATTGAGAAATTCCAGGCCTTTTGCCCCGCCCACCACCGTTGCTTGCGCGAGGTTAACAGGTGAAACACGGTTGCTATCAAGATGGTCAGTGGAGGAATCATGGGAGAGACTCGGGCACGTTTGAGCTTCAGTCAGAGCCAGACTCTGAGTTTTTCAGGAGTTTTTTGTTCAACAAAACTGGCGACTCGAAGACGTATCAAAACCGTAAGTGTACTTAATTGGTTAATGTTGTTTGTTAGCTTGTAACTGGCAGTGGCTGACACAGTGTTAGTGGCTGTGCTAATGCAAACTCTTGCTCTCTGTATTGACAAGGTTTCGCTGACCAGTGAAAGAGCAGTGTGTGTCCAGATAGTTAGTGGAGGAAACATCAGAGAGACTCAGCTACATGTTTGAGCCAGTCTTTTGCGCACCAAAATCGGCGACTAGCAGACACATAAGAACAGTTAGCGAAGTTAGCATTTGTTTATGTTGTTTGTTAGCTGGCAACTGGCCTTGGCTGACAGTGTTAGTGGTCGTGCTAATGCATGACATATGAATCCCTGTCTGAATCAGTTTAATGAGACTGTCATTGGTTCACTGCAGTTCCTGGGTTTAAATAGGCAGTCAGGCCTATTATTTAAAAAAAACATCACATGGACATGTTAACAAGGTTTAAAAAGCTCCAGTACAGATTAGAAACTAGCACCGTTCTACAGTATCCTATGTTCTACAGAATCAGATAACATCAATAACTTTAATGTTGTCAAATTTTCTTGCTTGTATCAACAGGCCTGCCAGTCACTGTGGTCATGATGCAGGTTCAATTTCTCGTATTTCAAATTTTGCTGCTTGAAAAACCCTGTTTTGTGCAATGTCTTTAAATTTGAATGGCAGAGAGACAAGGCGATACTGACAATAACAGTTAGATACAATCTGTAGCTGCTGTAGCCTGTCTACATTCAAATAAAACTGATTCTGATGCAACACCTCAGATAAAATTTGTATGAGGCAACAGAGTCTGCCACTGATTCACTGTCAGAAGTTGTCACTACATGACATTATCAATTCAACTGCTAATACTCTGATGTCCACAGTGGGGAGACAGAGGGTCATATTTAACAGCACAATGGAAATTCCCTTTTTAGACAGATTTTATCTTAAACATTGTAAGTAGCTGGTACTGTAAGGTAAGCCCTTGTTGTTGTTGGTGTCAGGTGAGCAGTTTAACATTCACACACACACACACACACACACATATATATATATATATATATATATACAGTATATACATAATATAAAAACACTTAAAATGGTATGGATTCTTTTAATTAGACTGTGATATATAACAATGATTTTATGACATTTTAGAAAAAGGACTTTGACAGCCCTGGACATAATGCAATTTTGGGGATATTTAGAATAAAATTTTTTTTAAAAAGATAACATGACAAAAACAAACTAAAATGCACAGTTTGTGTAGAGAATGTCTTCTAAACATCTTCACATGAACCAGGGATACATAATACCGATCTTTTGGCATTATAAAGCCTACAATAATTCATGGTTTTAAACTTAAACATAGTTGCTTACCTGAGTACATTTTTGTCCCTTTATTTTCAAAGATATTGCACAAAAGGATGTCATAAACTTACAAATGGCAGCCCACGTTGGCCAAGAGTAACAGTACAAAGGATTGCGTTAAAAAAAACAATAACAATAAAGATACAATGATTTTTTATCTATGAATAGCACGTTTCTTATTTTTTAAAGGGCAATTATCCAAGAGGTTCAAAATAACATCAGTCTAAATTTGGAAAGATGGTATTTTCCCACTTGACTTCCTGAGTTATTGCCCATTTAAATATGAAAAAAATAGTAAGAGTTCATGGTCAACTTCACTGAAACAAAATCCTTATCCAGTGCTGATATGGAGTTTTTTTTTTTTTTTTTTTTTTCTTCAAACAGCCAACTACCATAGGGCAGGATGTTTTCACAGTCACAGTTTTAACTTCCTGCCTAGATTAAGACCAGAAAAACTGTTCTCCAATCTCAGCATCTGTCAACACTCATGTGCCTTTGTGTCATCTAGTGCATCTCTCTGTCTTCCTCTCTTTCTGATCTCCCCGCCCTCACTTCTGCTCAACACAGTGGCAGACATCACACCATTAGGAATCTGTCCAGTCCTTTTTTCAAACAGTAGCCAGACTTCAGTTACTGTTGGTGCTGCATTGATAAGCAGATTGTGCTCCTTTGGGACTACTTCCATACAATGTATTGTGCTAATAGGCGTAGGAATGTGTATTATCTGTTAATGTGATTTAAGGATATTTTTCACCTCACACCTTTTTCCTGTTTGCTTTGTTTTCATTTTTCCCCGTGTCCTCGATATGATGCTTCCTTTATTTTAATGTCTCATCAGTTATTCTGTGAAGCCTCTAGATTCCCTAGGTCTCTTCATATATGACTAAAACCAGGTTTTAGCCCAGCTTGTTCATGCACACACTCAAGTAGTGAAAAAATAGGGTACAAGTACTAGCTTTTAAACAAGTCTGATGCTAGGCAGTCAAATGTGGAATGTTAACTTGACAACTTCATCCCCTTGCAAATGTAAGGAAATGGGTGCTCACAGTTTTCTGCTCCCAACAGCATTAATCATTCACAACTTATTGATTTAAGCTAAGCACATTGTCAGCAGAAAACAGAAAGCAAGCATTTCCTTATTTTCCTTATTGGGTGTAACATCTCTCCGTCCCGTCTTCCCCCTGGGCTGGCTCACTCAACTCATGGGAGAGCAATGTCCCTGTTGGTTCTACTGCTGGAAGATCTGAAGTCCTGGCATATAACAACCAACCTGTACAGGTTCAGTATGACCACCAGGAAGTTTTTGATGGCGAAGAAACCCAGCATCTGGTGGAAGATGCTGAAGTAGGTCATGACGGTGAGCCTGACCACTAGAAAAGGCCCATCCTGGATGAATAATGCCTCCACGATGCTCCATATGTCTGTACTGTGTTTAGTCAAGAGGGAAGCCTCCTGGGTGCCCTGCTCACCTTCACCGCTTGGCTTGTTGGTGACCACTTTAAAAAAAAAATAAAGAGACAAAAACAGACAAAGTTAATGGAAGGAGGAAAGTGGGAAAAAGTTTGGGAAGTTGTCAAGAGCAGGGGAAATCTGCTACAGATTACATTTGCTTTTTATACCAGCTTTTCCTTCCTGTCTTTTGTCTGGACTGGTCTACATTTTCAGTGTCTGGTGTCTGTTTTAAAGGAAACATACAACCAGCTTGGCAGTAAGTTAATACTTGAAGTCACAAACTTGACAACAGAGACACAAATACTTTATTTGATATCATTTCTTTCTTTAGTTGTTTTAACCTGAATTTAAAAGCCTAACCCAGAACAGAGGTTTGAAATTAAATCACAAGACTGGATGTGATTGACCAGCATCATGTCGATGGATGAGGTAACTGAAGTTACACTGTTATGGTTTGATTAAAAACTATATTTGAGACTATAGACTATGTTTGACTGTATAGTGCTGGCACAGCACTAAAACAGAGTGTGAAGATAGGTCTGGCTATGTGTTTGACTAACGTTATTGCACTGATATCGTCTGGCAGGGGGTTGAGACAACGAAAATCCTTACCTAACATCAGAAACACAATAGTAGTGGGATGAGTAACATTATACTGTAGATAAGGCACATAAACTCTACAAAGTAACAGGCTGTGAAGAAAAGACGTTTTGTTTTGTGCTCCATTTCGAAGCTAACATTAGCTAGTGCTTAAGCTAACAATGGGCGAGAGGCTCCTTTAAGTGCTCAGGAAAAAATGGAAATGTGAACACCTGCAGTTCTGTGAGAAGTGGGCAAATTCCATCTTTTAATGAAGACCATGTGATATGATCAAAAGCTCCAAGGCAGCTATTAAATGGACCTAACTTTTCTCAGCTACCCTTTCCTGAGACTAGAATGAGCTTTGAGACTCAGATGTATGAACATGTTGTGCGTGTATGTCAACACTTTCTGTGTTTACTTGGCATTCAAACATAATGGACATGACCGCACCCTCACACTAACACAAAGGAACACCCACGAGTAGACACAAACACAAATACACACACTGTACATGCTGAAGGAAAAGCATTTTCATTTATAGGAGCAAGAGCACTGTACATTGAAGCACTAAGTGCTCTAAATGCATTGTGACGGTAAAGACAACCATAATGGAATTATTATTAAGAATTTTAACATCCATTTGTAAATTATTATGGATCCGGTTATGAATAATTTAAATAATTATTGAGGGTTGTCTTTTCCAAGAACACAATTGCGTTATTTTAATCACATTATTCACGTACTGTATATCACAATCTGCTTCCTCTGTTCCCCTGTGTTCCTGTCTCCAGCCCATTTCACTTCTCCCAGGACACTTTTTCTCCCTTTCAGACTTTCCATTACTCATCCATACACCAGATGTCCTCAGACTTTCCTCCTCGTTCCCATTAACCTGACTGCCCCGCCCATCCACACACCTGTTCCCACTTATCAGCCCTGCAGTCACCTGAGCTCTCCCCACCTGCACCCCATTAAACCAATCACCTAAGTCTCTTCCTTTGTGCCTTGCCAGAGTGTCATGTTGTGTTCCGTGTATTTTTTGGCTTCCCTTACCTGAATTTGATGCTTTTGCCTGTTTGCTGGACTTTGGATTCCTGCCTTTTCATTATTGGAAAAGCAAGCCTCTGTTCCTCTTTGTTTGTAAATAACTGAACTTTTGCCTCTGGTGTCTGGATTTCGGCCCTGTGTCCTTGTTAAATTGCTTACAGTTGTGACAATTACAATGTTCTTTCTTTCATGAAACTCTATACTTTGTTCCCTCAGACATGAGGAGACACATTTACATTGTTTTCTGTGCTCAGTGTAGCAAGTTTCATAGAAAAACTACACAGTTGAGCTTCACCTGATAACGGTTTCCCCATAATGGTTTCCCCTTATCAGCCAAGATGTAAAGTGGAGACTTTGTCTGCTTAAATATTTATGTAATTGAGACTGGATTTCCTTCTAAAGGCACGTTATTTATACAAACTTCAAGTATACCATTCCTGTTTCTTTTTGTGGATAGTCTGTTTTTAGAACCGTATAAGTCTGAAAGAAGGGACTTTACAAAGTCTCTGATAAAGCTCTTGTGGTTTATACAAGGCTCTGGAAATGAAAACAGATTTTCGGGTTAATAATTTGACATTGCTGAGCAAGTGATTTCTGCTAAACTGACTTTCACTGTTTATGTACAGCACTGGTGTGGATGCTGTTGACTTTTAGTGATGTTTTGCCAATTTCTAAACACATCCTTTATATTGTTCCACACTGGGAGGAGGTTATGTACAACAATACACAGCCGTAACTGCATAATGCACACAAAAGTTGTTGGTTTAATACACAAACACACACTGACCGGCCAGATGTAGGGGGAACTGCAACATACTCCAAGTCCACACAGCTAAGACGATGTAAACCAGCTGAGGACTATTGTCTCTGCAAAAGACACATGGAAAATATAGTAAAAGTCAGTCCCATGATGCTGGGATGCTGCTTTTTTTCAGTTAATGCACTGATATCATGTCAATACTTCAGGGATAGGATATGGGGGCACAGATTGGGTAACTTAATCCTAAAAGTGTGAACATACTCGTATGCATGCAATGTAGAAAACTCTGAAACATATTAATGAAAAACAGGCAATAGCCTATGATTAGACACCCACTTGACATCTGACAGCGTCTCACTCGTAAATTCGAGGATATCTGCCGCTGTGCCAACAAAAATTAGGAGAAGCTGTGAGAGCTCGTCACGGGTGACTCCGCCTCCCAGAGGGAGCAGCCACTTCCCCACGATGAGGAGGATGAGCAGGATCTGATGAAGAGCCAGGATCCAATCATTGGCACAGACAGCTGATAACCCCTGCTTAAAATTCTGGGCAAGGGAGAGAGATTCAGAGTTATTTCTTTGTCGACAATTTAAGAGGTGTTCTGGGACGGCTGCATCTTTTCAGTCAGGTAGTTCTCAGCTCATGCAGTGCTATCTGTTTTGGGTAATTATCACTCTATCAGTTTAGATTTAATATCCCTTTTATCATTGAGGTTTATACTAACTTGGTGACACTTGCTGTTCAAACCTCACTTTTTACAGCATTTGTGGACCTTGGTCTGCTAAATGTTGAGTCCTTATCCAATAAGTCATTATACAAAGAATGTCTCTGGTGATGTTCTATATTTTTCTTTTGACAAAAAATCCTCTGAAAAGACCAAAACCAAAAATGTGTTAACGTGTCACAAAACCTTCCAACAAATTTTAGCTCTTTAATTCTTCTGGGCTAAATGGGTGTGGTGGTGGTCTAGCTGTGGTTTATATAACAACTTATTTCAAATGGTCTCCTCTCACTATTACTGACCATATTGGTTTTCAGGCTGTTATGTTTGCTATTAATGGTAGAAACTGTGTGTGTTAGACTGCGATCTATTGCCACACCTTCCTAATTTCCTCAGCATTACTACTGCTGTGGTTGCAAAGTGAGTGTAGTTTATTTTAGTTTTCATGTCGATGTTAGTGCTTTGCTCACATCAAGAAGTCTGTTGTTTTATACGTGGCAGTTTGCAGTGCAAGTCTCTGCCCTCTCATTTTAATGACTTTGTAAATGGTTTTAATAATGCTTACCAGGCTGCTTTACATTTTGCAGCACTGGGTTTAATTCTTAGGTCTGTCTCTAAAGCCAACTTCCAGACTGGTTTTAATCTGAGGCGAAGCAAAAATACGGCTCCTATTGCCATCAGATCACAATGACAGTTACATTTGTGTTCATCTTGATTTAAGTGCTGCTGTTGATATTGTGACGATAATATTTTACTAGTTTGTCTGAGAAAGTGGGCTGGGATATCTTGCACAGTGAGTGGTTTTCTTAAATGCAGATTCTTTGTATGTATTGCTGACATGTTGTTTTACTTGGCTTCTCTAATCTGTGGTGTTCCTCAGGGGTCAATTCTTGGTCCTCTTATTTTCTCTCTACATGCAGCTTTAAAGGAACACTATCACTTATCACCCCTATGCTGGTGGTATTCAGTGTAGGTATAAAGCCTGATGGTTTCTTGCTTCTTTACACAATTGTCTTGATGAATTCAGTGACTGAATGACTCATAACTTTTTTACTTAATTACAGCAAAATTGAAATTCTTGTTTTTCTGCCCTCGACCAGATCTCTGGAAATATTCACCTCCATGTCACATATTTAATCCTGTTATTTCCAGTTGTAATGTATTAAATTAAAACTCCTCGTATCACTTCAAAATTCAAAGCAATTCCACAGGAGCATTTAAGCATGTAAATAACCCAACTAATGACATGCATCATCTGAATCATGATGAAGGATTCCTTTGTACAGAAATTATTATTGTATTAGGAAAATAAATAACTGTGAACTCTAATATTGACTGTGGAGAAACTGATAAAACTAAAATCTCTTGTAGGTTCCGATTTTATATGCAAAATAGGAATGCTTTTGAACAAATCAACCGTCAACAAATTACTTATTTGATTTTCTTGCTGGCTGCATTTAAGATTCTTTAGACCCCCACATCAATCCTGTTATTAGCACAATAACCTTATCTCAAAATAGAGATGAGGAAGAGAGGAGTACCTTAGCAGAATCCAGATCTGTATTTGTGGGAATATCCCTTATCTTGCCCATTGGTGAGTTCTTTCTGAATTCCTCAGGCCTGCAGCTGCATCCGGCTTTTAATCCCTTGATGTTCATGGTTATCCCTTCCCAATTCACTCAAAACTGGAAATCTGGAAATCTATCTGAAAATCTGCTCCTTGGATACCAAGTAAGTGTCCTATGGGATCCCATATTACCCTGACATTGACTTCTAATCAGATTTACAGACAGAACTTCGCCATTGAAGAGCTAGACAGCAACAGTTAAACGCTGAATTCACATTTGGCTTTAAAAAAAAAAAAAAAGAGAAATTTCCTATATATGATATATGGACACAAGAGTATAAGTGGTAGTATACAGGGAGGTTATGTTTATGATTATTTCTATGCATGGGGCAGTGACTTCCTGGAGTCTGACTTCCCGGCAGCCTCATGATGATGATAACAAGACAGAGCTATGATTGAACTGAGAATCACAGTACAATCACAGTAAAGTGAGATACATAAGCAATTTTCCCGAGAGTTTCTTGAGAGATTGGTGCTTTTACATTACATTTACTCATTTGGCAGACACTTTTATCCAAAGCGAGTGAGTGACAATTGCTTTATGTTGGAAGTTGGAGTTCTTGTTTACATAGTGTCCATAATCCAAACTGCAGTGTTAGTGATTTCCAAGAAATACATGATTAAAAAAATCTGAATCATTGTTTTCATTCTTGTTCATTTCTGTTCTCTGCAGGCATATCATAAGAGACAAATTAATTTTTCATTCATTCACTCTTACCTCCAGGTACGTGAGGTTTCTCAAGGTCTCGTTCTGACTTGCCACACTACGAATGTAAGAGTAGTCGATTTTTTTGCACTGAAAAGAGACAAAGGCTTTTTACAGGCTGAATTTCACAAGCTACTTGTACTTTTCACTGCAGCTAACACTCATAACCTTAAAGTTTAAAAGCAAATGTAGTATATGATGGAATCAAGAAATTATTGAATTACATGCAAAGAGCTGGAGTTTTTGCAACCTTCCCACCCACCAACATCTGTCATTAGGTTTCGTGTTTAGAAAACATGAGAACGGTTGTTTTAAGCAGTTACATAGTGAATAAGAATTTCTGTTTCTGGCGTGGAATACCTCAACAGGTTCGCTGACTTTGTTCTGCCGGTGGTGGAGCTCCAGGAGCCAGATGGAGGGAATGATACTGATGAGAAACAGAAAGATAGGAGGAGAAAACCTGGAAGACAACCAACAGAGCTTTGTCAGCACAAGAAGTGAAGATGCCTAGAATGAATTCTCCAATTAATATTGGTTAGTGATTATTACAGTTGTGTAGAGCTGAATGACTACTTGACTACTGGACTTGATAAAGTGGGTAAATTGAATATATTTGGGTTTTGGGCTGTAAGCTTGGCACAACAAAACTACTTAAAATGTCACCTTGGACTCTGGGAAGTCGTGATGGGCTTTTTTGTCTTATTTTATATACCAAACGATTAATCTAAAAAATATTAATCTAATCTAAAAAAAATTGGCAGATTAATCAATAATGAAATGAATCAATTGCAGCCCTCGACCGTGTATTTCATTGTCACTTTGCTTTCAGTTGAATACCAGGATACTCCCACACAAACATCTGTTTCTTGTAAGGCTAAATAAGTTAACAGGATGATAACATTTAGTGAGTGGGTGTATGCTTATCTTGGAAACAAATGTGCAGTGTAACATCGCACTGGTTTTTATTACATGTGATGTTAAAATGTAAGCTGATATTAATGATTCAACAAATAACTATACACATCAAGAGAATGAAATATTGTTTAAAGGTTAAGTTTATCCATGGAGGAAGACTGCTCGGGGGAGTAGAAGGAGTACCACCCCATCCTCACTGTCCCAGGAGCAGTTAAACAATAGCAGCAGAGGGACAAGCAGGATGCAGGGTACCTAGGGAGTTGGGGAAAGGGGTGAAGGCAGGGAAGAGATAACGAAATCGTAATGTCTAAATGTATTATTCAGGAAATTTATCGAAACCCAACAGTTGTGATAAGTTTTACACAAAAAATACATAACTTACTTTCAAGGTGTTAAGTACCCCAAGGATACCCAAGTAGGCTATACTGTTAATTACAATATTACAACATATTTACCAATACTTATTTGCATGCACCTCATCTTACCATTTGTAATCTTTTCCCTTTCGCCTCTTCAGAGTTATAATCATTTCAATGACAAGCGGCAGAAAGAGGACAGTTAGGAACCAGTAGTGATCACTCTTCACCGTTGTCACCCTCCAGACCCCGATCAGGGAGACCAGGATAAAAAGCGCTCTTGTAATGATCGCACACGTAAACTTAATCAAACCCATCACTGCGGCTGGTTGCAGATCAGTGTGGTGTACCGTAATTTTGCCGTTATCCGTCAAAGTTCAACCAGCGACTGCTGCGCTGCGTTGCATATAGTTTTTCGAAGAGGGTCCCAAAGTTGAAGCCCCGCCTATAGAAAGAAAGTCACATCCAGTATTTCCTGACAGGGGATTAGATAGTGAAGAGTAATGGCGCTGGATAAATTACGGCTCTGGAAGCTGCTATTCCACTGAGCTTATTCCGGTGAATTGTAAATGTCATCATGAGCCCTTCACAAACTCCATGCAGAGGTTCTCAAGCTTTTTCTGGCATGCTGCCCCCCCCCCTTCAGAAGCCGAAAAGGTCTATTTCCCCACACCCCACAACTTTAAATCAGTCTTTAAATCAGCCTCCCCCCAAAACAAGTAAAAACAATAGTTTGGTGGTTAAAACATTCATATAATCTCCTTGCATGTAAATGTAAATACTACAATATATTTCCCATATTTATACCTGGAAGAATCTTGTGACACCCTATAGTGGACTGTAGTTTGGTCTGCCTGCCTCACTAGCTTGACTATTTAGCTTGTTTAATATACTTTCTTATACTTCAGAGTTTCTGAATTAGATATTGTCAAGTATCTATGAATGAACACTAATGTTAGCTAGTTTCTAACATAAGCTTTAAGTTACAATTTAGCTAACTAATGTTAGCTAGTTTTTAACTTTAGCTTTAAGTTACAGTTTAGCTAACTAATGTTAACTAGCTGATAGTGCACACTTTCAGTTCCAATGTTAGGTTGTCATGTTATTACCAATATTAAATGTCATACATGATCTTATTTTAGCAAACATTGGTGCTCTGTCATGGGCAGTGAAACAACAGAGGATTAGTTATTGTAGAGATACATTTTGACATCAGTATAGTGTTTATTATTTCATTTGGTGTGGCGATTAAGTAGTCTTTTACTTTACATTGTATTTTATAATAGCTATCCTCTTTGTTATCACTGAGGAATTCGGGAGTTTTACCTGTTGGGTCAATGATTAATATGAAAATACATGTGTGTCCAACACCTCAGTTCACTGAAGCATGTGCCTATGCTGTACTGCTTTCACCCTGGAGAAATAGTTGACCCCCCCTTATCATCATTGTAGAATTCACACGCTTAAGACAACAGATCAAGAAGGATCCATGTTGAATTTTAGGGTTACATCAGGACAATAGCAAGTTTGTTTATTTTCCCTTCATAAATCAAAGACGTTCACCTTAGTTTCACTCTTGGTCATCACTGCAATCACTGCCTTTGTATAGACTATTATTTGTACAGGAGAGGGCAGTATCACGTCATCTGTTCATTCACCAGGAATAACAACAGCAAGAGCACTTCCTCTGCAGTTGTAATTCCAGGAAACACTAATTTACGACCTTGAACTGAAGTAGGACTGATAGTCATCACATTTACTTTTCTAATATGTGATATATATAGCCTACTTATATGATTTATATAGATTTTAAACTTTTAATCTGAAATGTAACTTTTAACTATAGCTGTCAAATAAAGGTAGTGTAGAAGAAAAAGTGACTCTGACATGTCGAGTACAAGTATAAAGAATGGCGAAAATGTAAATACAAGTACCTACCTCCAACATGTATTTTAGTGCAATTGGCTACTTGTGTAAATGCACTTAGTTACATTCCACCAATTCCACCAATGGAAGCATAATTGCCTGAATTATGTTCATATGCTCCAGCTACTATGCAAACATGAAAAAAAGAAAAGATTTTCACAACATTTAGACCATATACACACACACACGTGCATAGAAAAGCAATACAAAAACAATAAAAAGCTATATAAAAAACAAAACAGATAAAAACATGTAAAGCGCATGATGTTGTTTTAATCAGTTGATTCTTTCATTCTTGCCATTGGCCATTAGGACTTTGTCCAACATAACACCATGATCATGTAGTCTAATCACATATCTTATTATCTCGCCATGCAGGAAAAACATCAGACCAAGTCCACCCTGGGTTTCTAAGTCTACACACACACACACACACACACACACACTGTACACACTCTCACAAGTCATTTTGCCCTACTTGGCTGCATGCTGAGTTGATTTATATTCAAATCAGTCTGGCCAGCCAGTGCAGGAGCGAGTAAACAGTAGAAAGGCCTGTGACCTTGGAAAGGAGACAAACTTTTCCCGTCTTTGTTCCAAATTGTCTGTCATCATTCCTGGGTTTGGATCACGTGAAATCACAATGAGAATTTCAGGCTATGAATAAAAGTAGGGTAGAGAGTATCCAGATGCATAGAAGAAGAGCTGTGTCACACACTGCGTCAGAAAACACTGTGGGTTGAGTTTTTATGCTTCTGCATTGGTGACAGCTGATGATGGAGGCATTATGTTTTCGGGTTGTTGGTCCGTCCCATTCTCTTGAACATGATATCTCAGGAACACCCTTCAAATTTGGCACAAATGTTCACTTTGATTCAAAGATGAACTGATTTAGAATTCAGTGGTCAAAGGTCAAGGTCACTGTGACCTCACATCCTTCCCATTATTGTATGTGTAATGTATCAGGAATGCCTGGGAGGAATTTTATTACATCTTGCACAAACACCCACTTGGACTCTAAGATTTATTGATTTAGAATTTGGCTGTCATAGGTTAAAGGTCACTGTGACTCAAGAATTCATACACTAATTATGATAAAATACACTTGATACCTTTTGTTGAATTCTTTCAAAGTCTTCAGTATGCATATCACATGAGTCTGGATGGACGTAGATGTAAACAGCGACTTGCCTGGTTGGGGCAGGCATAAAACCGCAAGGCAGTGATTGTAGTTTAAGAAAGCAGGTGTGTTTTTTATGTAGCATGTCAAAAAAATGACAAAAAAGTTGCACTGAAACAAAAATCAAACCAATTTTAGTAAAGAGTGTTCCCACTTGACTCCACCATCTTACTCTGTCAGAGAGTGAGAGACGGTCAGTAAGACAGTCATAAACAGAAACAAATGCTGCTCTGTTGACTAAGACAGAAAGGCCATCCAACATCATACCCCGTCACCCAGTGATTATGTGTGAGGGTGCTATTCAAGACCCAGCTCTTGGCTGTGTGTGGATGATAATGACAGAGATGGCCGAGGGGCTCTGGTCACTGATCACAGAACAGTGATTCCCTCTATGCTGCTGCTTCAGTCAGCACTGATACAATGCTACAGAGCTGCACTGTTTGCTGCATCAGCACAAAAATAATAATCTGTGCCATGTTGAAGAGTGTAAAATAGACCACAGTGGTGCAATAATCTGTACTGTGAGATCAGTGTTTGAAATATTGCTGGTGACAATCACTTAGCAACTGTAATGGATGATTAAATATAAAACAGAATTGAAAACTACAATCAGATGAACTCATGGGGGCAGACATACAATCAAAATTGCCTCAGTGAAAGTTATGTTTACATATCAGAAAAGAACATGTAGAGGCTTGATTCCATTTTTCTCTACTAGAATGATATCTAAACTTGGTTGTGTTTGCATTCCTACTGCACACCACAGTTTCTAACTTTGAGACTCATCAAGATGCAGAGCAGAGAGAGCATCAACATAAACCCCTAAAATATTTTCAGCTCTCTCGTGTTCATCAGACTAGTGTCTGAGGTTATTGTGGTTAACATCTGGGAAAAACAACATCAGGTAATATCCTGATGGAGACAATCTTTTTATTTTCATGGCGTGTTCATTGATTGATATTCTTTTAGAAGGTTTGTCTCTGGCATGGCCACAGTTTTGTTATTACAGTGACAAAAATTTGTCACGTCTGGCTGTAAATAGTGTCTAGAAAGGCTGGATCACCAACCAGGCAAAACAGGCAACTCCCCCAGAGGCCCTAGCTCCACAGCAGCCCCCAAAACCCTGGGTTTACTGTGTTAATTTTTTGTTTTGTTTTGTTTTTGGTAATTTGATTATCTGCAAATTTGTTAGGGAATTTACCCTACTGAATTACAAATCACCTAAGGTGGTCTCTTCATTATTAGCTGATGTTATGGTCCTGTCTTGCAGAGGGGAGCTGTGTTAAGACCTTAATTGTTTTGGATATTGATATTCATTCGAAAGAACATTGTGCTCACTAACAAATTGACACAGAACCCCTAATAGGTAAATCTGGCCATAACCAGTTTATATGATTGGCACATCCATATATGGCACCACCATATATGCTTTATATGTTGTGTGCATATTTTAATTCTGTGACTCTAAGTGTTTAAGGTACACAAATGTCTGTATTTTTGCATAGTTGTCATCACAGAATATATATTTCTATGAATGAGCTCTTGGTTTAAAGCCCTATTTAGCCTTGAGTTTCCCTTGTGGTAAAATAGATGTGTTGAGTCATCTTGCCTTACAAATCTGCTAACCCTCAGAGATTTTCATTTGCTTTGGCCTTAGCAGACAGTTTAATAGTTGCATGCCTGAGCAAGTGTTAAAAGGTTTTTTTTTCACCATGATGAGAAGAAAATTCAAGTAGAAACACTGATGTTTCAAGCATTAAAATAGTAATATTAACAGCACACCAGGAACCAGCTAAATATTAGAGACATTTCAGGTTGTAGTCTGCAACCTGCCTTTGGAAATATATTTTGAGAGAGTTAAAAGCCAAAACTATAGACCAGCTTTTATCAGCATTTTGTGACCAGCGGCTGTGCCTCTCCCAAGACTGGCTAATTAATAACTTAGCTATTATGTAACGCTGTAAATTACCCTTGTAATCCTGTGTAATACAGCTGTAACCACACTCTGTGTTATTACTGTTGTAACCCAACAGGTGGCACTCAACACCACAGCTTCGAGGAGGAGCAGAGCAAAAACAGTCTCTGAAAGTCACACATTTATTAGTCAACCTGATATTTCTGCCAATGGACTAAAAGCTCAGCATGTTATGTAAAGAGGAGGGGGCGAGACTGATGAGGTGTTATTAAAATTAGAAGCTATTGCTCAATGAGTGTGTCAATTTATTTTTAGGGATGAAAAAATGTTTTGTTTTGACATTGCACAGTTACCACAGTTCATTGGATATAA